TTTTATAATTTCGTATAATTTCTTTTAATATTATTTAATATGCATTTTAAAGTCAACACATTACCACAAGGAATTAGCAACTTTCTTTTTCACTCCAATATAAAAAAATTTATTTTAGAAAATGATTCAATAAATAAATGTATAACAACATAAGATTATATGACAAAAATTTATACGATAGCATATTGAAAATAATAATAACTACATACTTTTAGTTTGTTCGTCGTAAAACAATAAATAAAATAAACAATAAATAACACTTTGCTATAAAATCGTAACAAGGCAAACAAATTTGCACTAACCGTCGTTGATATATTTGAAATTACAAAGTTTTACATGAAGTATATATACACATGACGCTATTCGCCATCGTAATTATCGTACGGCATTTCACATAAAACCAACGCTGTACGTTGGGTTAATTCTAGGGATTCGGCAATATAACTCTTAGAGTAGCAGAGCTATACTAGTTCATGGAATGGTGCTTTATAATAAGAATTAGATGAGAAATTGTTACCAAATCTTCAATTAAGTTTGAGAATGGTAAATTTTTGTCTAAAAATGTTTTAGCAACCAACTACAATACTAGGCAAGGAAGTATTACCTATAAAGCACTTTGATTTTGATAACACAAGAAAATTAAAATAATTAAAATATGACAACAAAAAATATGTTCTAACTTAAGAATTGTACTTTAATTACAATATTTACGGACAGAAATTTTAAAATCATATTTGTTTTGAGGTTCTTTTGCATTCTGAAGATAATTAATATATTGGTAAAAAAGAAAATCCGAATATTATAAAAATGCAAATTTTTAACTATAACGTACTCAAGTAGTTTATTCCTTGTCAGCGAATGACGTGTACAGTGTTCTCGTAGTAAACAAAAATTTGCTAATTGGAAATCTTTAGGAAACGAAAAGTTTATGAAAGTTACAAATTTTCGTCAATTTTGATGTATTTTGTCCATATAAATGATTTTTATCTCGGAAATTGTTAATCTTACGTACATACATATGTTTCTTTTACTTTACTCTAAAGTGTTCAAACATTATAAATAATTCTTGTTATTGCAAAAAATTATTTCAACTATTCAAAAATTATAAATAAAGATTTTTTTCCAGTTTTCTTGGTAAAATATCATTATATCTCATCTGAAAAATGTTATATTTCTTGTAGTTTACTCTATAAATGTTGACTTGCACGTTAATTCGGAAAGCAGACTAAGGTGGCCGGGATCTTACGGGACTGACTAACTGCATCCCTCATACGCAAGTTTATTCAAACAAAATTTACAGATAAAGTCTATATGTGTTTTATTTCCATGTTTGAAATGTATATTATTTTTTGTATTATTCAGAAGTATTATATTTTTATGTATTTTTACGTTCTTTTCCTTTATAAGATGTCTTTTCTCAGAATGATTTACCTTTGCTAACAAGATTTGGAAGGTATAATCACAGCCTTGTGGATTATTGACTAATAAGATCGTTAAATCTACATTACAATTTGAGCATGTATATACAGCGTCATTATGAATTTGTGAAAAGTTTGTTACTTCTTTAAATGTACATATATGTATCAAAGAAACATTTTACTAGTGATGTATTTTCTAGTTTTTTAGAATATTCCACAACTTCTTGTATAAATTTGTAATAAAGAATGATTTTGACATAACATGATAGGCATATGCACTTTGAACCATTATCATTTATAGATATTTGTAAAAATTATTCAAAGTAATATATATTAATAATACCTTTTTTACATGCATTAGTAATGATTATAAAGTGGTTTTGTAATGAATCTTCTTACAACAAAATATTTTAACAATCATCTAATTTCAATAAGCTTTGTGATTTCCAAGTAACAGAAGATACTTTAATTTTTATTTAACATATTAACGTACTGAAATTGGCAATAGTTCCTTTATTTTATGTATTAAATCAACTGATCCTTCGAATATGCTTTTACATTTTCCTTCTGCAAAATTTACACCACATAAACGACATATCAACGTATCCTTCAATGTATCCGACTACGCATAGATTTAATTGAAGTTTAATTGAAGAAACGCATAGGTTTGGTTGAAGTTATCATACCTCTACACAAAAATAATAAATAAATTTAATTATCTCCATTAATTATACCATATTTTTAATATAACACATGATTTATTTAAATTTTTTGGAAATATTTTAAAAATCATTTAGAACTGGAAAACAATCCATTAATCTTAACTATTTATCTTACAATACTACTAAATACTATATTTTCTTTAATAATGACTTAGTATATTTTTATAATTTTATATTTCATGAATAACATCTAACAAGTTGTTTATTCTTAATTCTATCATGCTAAAGTAACCTTCTTCATGTAAACCAATGAATATATGTTCTCCACCAAAAAGAGGTTACATGAAAAGGTAGACTTTAAGTTATTATTGTATTAAAAAGAATAAATTGTATAGATGAATTACACACAATTGGTTTACATTCTATTATTGTTGTACACTCGCCGTAGGGTAATTCCATGAACACAGATTAACTATATACATATACTGTTACGCTATCTATGAACGTAGCTTTAATCACTCGTTATGCATGCTGGTGAAGATAGCTTTAGGGTGGCTTAATCTATACAGATCGACGGGCACAGGTAGAGCGCAATTTGAATTGTCAATAATGTATGAAAAAATTGATTTTTTTTGGCCGGTTTTTTTCAAAAAAACTGTGCGTTAAGGGGTTAATCTATACAGATCGACGGGCACAGGTAGAGCGCAATTTGAATTGTCAATAATGTATATTTCAAAAGATAGACTGTTTCTGGAAATCATCTAAGGATTAGACGCGTAGTACTGCGATGGAAAGTTAGAACTCGGGAACGGAAATGCTTTGTTATTGTAGTCGAAAGATTTTATTCAAAAACCGTAACCACTTGAGAGTTAAGTTTAAGCCATGTAGGCTTTCTCGACAGGATGTTTGTTTTGGGACTCAGAAAAGTACGCTCTTCATTCTGTTTTATATCTCAACGATACCCAGGACCGTGTCAACTAGCTAGAACTCTAAGAGGGTTATAAATATTATCAAGGGTTAATTCTCGCACGAATTGCTACGTGAACACTTTCCCTCGCACGTGCATATCACGTTGTAGTTAAATCAGCGTGCGTTCCACCACACCAAGAAAGTGCTGCCACCACCATCCGCTAACGAAGGATCGAGGGTGGAGTACGTGTGGGAAAAGAAGTGTCGATCTATGGGGTGGAAACTGTCTCTCGATTGGACTACCAGGATCTGGAAGGAGGACCAGGGGAGAATCCAGATTCTGGGAGAAGAACATGAAGAGAGACCTCGCGTCGAAAAATTTCCAAAAAGTCATTCATTCCAATTCTGTATCTCGAGTCTTGAAGCTTCGCTAATCTTAAAAGGTCTGGAACAGTTGTGAAATATAGAAGTACTAATTGCAACTAAAAATCTTCCAAGTTTTATTTGAATATCCCCGCACCACAGCAAGCGGAGCGCATAGCGCTCCACGGGCACCAATCCACTATCCCTTTTCTCGTGACTACCGCAAAATACGCAACAGTTGAAAGACGCCACGTAGATGGCGTGTCGAGAGTCTTATTCTAGGGAGAAACTTTTGCCGTGCTAAAGTCCCTACAATTGTGAACACAATACGATATCTGATAAGAAGAAATAGAGACATCCACAAAGTATGGCGAGTGTAAAGGTCCTTGAGTTTTTTAAAGCTTCCAATAAAAGGCTTAATATTAATCTTTTAAATGCTATGGTAAGAAATGTACACGATGTAACTTCAAAATCTTCTAAGAAAATCACTCATACTGGACAGGTACAGTATTACTTATAAAAATATATAGGTACAGTATCACTTATAGAAATATATTGATACTTTTAGAAATTTCTGCATCATAAATTTTATATTAATGCGTTCTTCTTTTATGATAGCTATTCGATGAAGATGACTATCGTAACGTACGATTTATAGACAGACCAAAAGAAGTTAACGATAATTGGGCTATTAAACTGATAGAAGAAGTTCCTCCTACATCTGCAAAAGAAAAAATTGTGGCTTGTGATGGAGGTGGTGGGCCTCTAGGACACCCAAAAGTTTACATCAATCTGGTATAAATTAAGTGCATGTATTACATGTATTAAACAATTATGAGTTATTATACAAGTTTTTATTTTAGGACAAACCTGGTAATCATACTTGTGGATATTGTGGTTTACGCTTTTACAAGGAACATCATTAAGTGACAAAGTGAATGAATGTAAATAGTCAAACTGTAAACTATGCAAGTAATTTAAAAGATATTTGTTGGAATAAATGTTAGGTATATGAACAAGATAAAGGGTTTTTTGTTTATTTCGAATTCTTTAATTTGGAATGACATTTACTAAACAAACATTTGATTTTATATTAAAAATTTTTACAAAGCTGTTTTCTGACTATTCATACCTAATGGTATTGCCTGCAATTCAGTTTTCATACAAAGGAATTCACCACAAACACACATTATACTTAAAGATATAATGTTTAAGCACCACCAACTAAATGTTGAAGGAAAACTTGCATTGTATGCCCAACAGCATAATAAATGGATTAAATGTGCTGTACAAGCAAAGTCCATACATTGTTTTGTTCTTTGTACCAACCACCATAATGCAATTGCTCCAATCAATGCATTTAAAATGAAAATAATTATGATAAATTGACCAGCAAAGTCCCGAACATGTATTTCCTTATAATGAAAAGCATAATCTAGTGACTTAGTTGATCCAATAAATGATGCAACAATCCAAATCCATAATCCAAGGCAGAAGTACATCACAGTTTGGATAGCAATTATTTGAGATATTATAAGAAATGGATCCCAAATGGTTTTACGGAATTGTCCAGATATGTTATTCATTGTTGGGTTTATAAATTTTAATTATGTTTATTAATAAAACAATTCTTTTCTATTTCGTGCATTGTGTATTCTATCATATTGATGTTTGTTTCGATCTAAAACAAAAGTAATTAACATATTTATGGTTATTAATAAACTTCATTATAGATAAAACAAAACTTAATTAAGTGAAAAATATTTAATTAGTTAAAAATTATGTAAAGAATAGAAACAATTTAACTTGATTCATAACTTTTTATGTACTAATTAATTTAACATAAAAAAATTTAACCTTACTCCATATATGTATTGCATGATTACATTAATTTGTTATGTGGCTTGAATATATTATTAATATTTCACAAACATGTATGTTTAAAATTAATTCTGTAAAGTACTATTCACATAAATTGATATATTAAAATATCTGTGAAAATTTATGACAGTTACCATATAGATATATGTTTAAATCGATCACATTCAAATAATATTTTTTTTCCCAATGATATATACAGTTTAATCAGCTGATGTTGACACATTTAAAACTTTGATTCACTATGTTTATGTTCCGTATAGCATAAAAGTAATGACATTGCATTACATGAATAGATGCATACGATCGCTCTACATAAGAAGTGTTTCTTTACATGCGTTATTCACTACAGAGTAATATGTCAATAATCGAGTAAATTTTACTTACACTTTTACATACTCAATAATTAAATATTTAATTAATCTTTGATTCTCAGAACAAATTTTTTTTCAATTTTACTTCATACTCGGATTTGATTGATTATACTCTTTTTATATTGTAATAAAAAATATAGGAAAACAAATTTTCATTATGAATGATTCACTCAACGTATATGCTTTATTGTTGTGATCAATTGTCAAGCACTCAATGGAACGTATGGGCACCGAGTCTCATCGATCTTTGCCGAATCCCTAGACCAGTGATGCCAGACAATGATGCCCCAGAATCGTGGGCGCTGAGCCCCCCACTATGACCTACCGCCGTCTCACACTATGCCGTCCTCGTGCTCTCACACAAATGTAGCGGTAGCTCTGCGTGTGCGAAGCCTGTTCGGCTCTTTCCGCCAATTATCTACGCCACCACGTGACGCTCGAGCAACCTGAGCGCATGAGTAAGAATTAGGAGATTCCCTTTGAATCTCGGTGAGACGCAGTGTTTCGAGTATATGGGCGTTCGGGACAGAAATCATAACTTCTAAATTAATCAATTTTCGACATAGGTTCTCAAATACTTTTTTGAAGAGAATTCAAATATGCACTGATTGGCACATAAAAAAATATATGGTTTCATTTTATAAAATTGTGATGATCTTTATTTTTTATCGAATAATACGATTTATTGTCAATTGAAAAATTTATTTTATTCATCAGTTCCGCGGAAATACCGGCAAAATCGTAACGGCCGTTTCGCACACAGGGGTTTCAGAGACAAACATTATAACTTTGTATACATTCAAAATTTCTCTTCTATTTTTGTTTTGTAATTTTCATTAGGTAGTTAAATAACAATATAAATAATAAAAAAATTGAATAACGCGTACAATAGTAGGATAGGACGCTAGAATACTCAACGCGTCGCTAACGATTTTGACAATTTTCTTCATTTTAAGTAAATTTAAGCAGTTAAATTTGACATTAATATAAAGGTTTATATGTTCAAAATTAATATACAAAAAATCACAGAGGTATTACTCGGTACTTTTTTTAAAAGTCTCGTTAAATTTGATAAAAATTTTACATAAAAAATTAGGAAAATTTATTACTATTGTATTAAAATTCTGTGTCAGCTTCAAAGGTATTCAGGTACTAAAGACAACCTATAAAAATCAAATCAAAAACACAAATGGTCTGTGAATGGCACATATTTGAAAAATACACTAATGTTCCGACTAGCATAGTAACTTTCTGGTAAAAGACAGCCCCAGAGCGTCAAAAATCAGGCCCTTATATACCCCAAAAATCGTGAGTTTTGGTGATAGGGATTTTCCTGGGAACGGAATGCGTTCGTTTGCCTTATCTCAAGGACTTTCTAGAGGGTACGCGATAGACTAAAGACTCGGCGCCACCGTGTCGGCAAGGCTGCGTAGGTAACAAGGGGATGAATCTACACTTCTGGATCGGTGGACACTTGTAAAAAAAACTTGCCGCAAAGTTGTTTATAATAATGAAAATTAATGTTAAATTTTTTTTTACATCGTATTCTGCTCGACAAGGAGAGAAAAAGTTTGAAAGGAGCTATTGGAAATGGGTTATGGAAATAAAATAGTCTTTGTAACTGCTAATATTCTGTTCATTCTTCGACTCAGAGGAAACGTGTTTCAATTCTGACACGTCGTATAGAATTAATGAATAATGTAGCGACTGTTTGATCGCCTGAATTTTTGGCTTTTAATTCTGAATATATTTCTCCTTTCGTTTAACCTTTGCTGCGTTCAGCCCTCGCATTTCCCCTTCCAAATGTTGCATTTTGGGTCCCTTGACGGGGGTGATTTTGGGTGGAAGGCCAAGACTCCCAATGAAGTTAGGGCTTTGGTCAACGTCCAACGCCAACCGCTCACCCTCAGGGAGGGGGTGTTTTGCGCGAAGTACGCGTCACCTGGGCTTATGGAAAAACGCAGGGTAACGGTACCGCTCGCTTGCGAGAATGTGCTTCGACTTGCGTGGAAGTAATTTCAATTGTTTATAAAAAATGCGCGTTGAAATGAAATATTTTACAGAATGTCATTTTTCGACTTCTAGATTCATCCCTTCAAATTTTATCAAAATCCCCGGGGGACAAGTATGTTGTCTCCTTCCTAGCTCTAGTCCAACGGAACTCTTACGTCATCCTACATAAAGTAAAACAAAGTTGTCTTCGCGCCTAATTTCCGCGCATGTAAATTAATGCCATTGCGCTGCTTCACTTTCAGTCTTTTCGTCAGTTAAACGGTTAAAGTCCGGCATACGCGTAGGTGCACGCGGTACGGAATCTATAGGTAGAAACTAAGAAGCTGTACAAGCAATCTTAATTTTAGTTGTGTTTTGTATAATATCGATTGTGTTTTGTGTAATATCGTGTTTTTTGTGATTAACAATTGTAATTGGGGTAATAATGGATTGTGGGCCCGCTAGAAAGTATAAGAAAAGATTTCAGCGTCATTGGTATGACGCTGACGAATCCTTGAAAATTTGGTTGGAAGAGGTTTCCTCAGACGATTCCAAATGTTTGTGTAAGGCCTGCAATAAAATCTTCTCTTGCGGCCTTTCGGATGTATATACATATACAGGCATGCGTCTAGTCAGGCACTTCAAAATTTCTTTCCCTCCCTCCACGACTCTGGCTCAAATTCGGAAAATTAGCTTTTTATTCCATGTAAGAATATACTGGGAGAAGTATAGGAACGGACGAAACTATACTCAATGCTTCAAATGTCAATCCTACGGCCACGCTTCTGGAAATTGCTTTAAAAATCCAAAATGTGTTAAATGTGGTGGAAACCACGCTTCTGAAGATTGCAGTAAAGATTCTGAGACCATGCCCAGGGCCGGGTTCAAAAATTTGGCGGGGCCTGAATACACATTTAAATCCTACACTTAAATTTTACAACGAGGAATCATTTATTTACAAATGCTGTTACATATTACATATTTTTTATAAGATGAATATTAAATAATAATACAATCCAATAATAATATTAAATAATTTTTCTCGCTTTTTTCGACGCCAAATCTTTGATAACATCATCAAAATCGATTGAATTTGCTACTTCCCTTTCTATTGACAGAATAGCCAGAGATGAAAATCTCTCTTGGCTTATCGATGATCGCAGATAATTTTTTATTAGTTTCAACCGCGAGAAACTACGTTCTGCTGAAGCCACGGTTACTGGCGTCGTTAACATAATTTGTAATGCGATTAATAAATTTGGATATGCTTCCGAGAGATTGTTCTTTACAATGTAATTCATCGAATCTAAAACCGAATAATAGGTTTGCGTTATTGACCGGAACATCTTAATTTCTTCAAACATTTCAGTTCCGTCGAAATCTCCTTTCAAATGTAAGTGAAGATCTTGACAACACTTTAATAAATATTCATCATCTAAATTCCCAATCTCATTCATGTATAGAAAACCAAAAATATTTTGGTGATTTGCATATAATTCGAATCTACTTTTAAAGGATACTAATCTGATCGTCGATGATTCATCCTGTCCTTCATAATCGAATAATTTCCGTTTTTTGCGCCTGCATGATGATTTGAAATCAGGTGTTATGTCCATTTCCTTTGCAACTTCATTTACTGCGATCATAGCTTTGCTAAACCCTTCATTTCTGTATTCCGCAAAGAATACGTTAAGACCTTTCAGATGCTTCGTGGCCAAATCGATTTGCATCTTTTGATTTTGCAATACTTTGCTGACGATGTTAATTTTTGATAATATTTCGTACCAAATGATAAGACTGGCAATAAATTCAAATTCATTTATCTATAGACAAAATCGCACTATAGACAAAATCTCAATTTTCAATTTATTGTCAGATGCGTTGTTGCCAATTTCGATCAAGGCGTTTCGAAATTGGCGAACTTGAAATCGAATAGCCTTTACACTATCAAAACGGCATTCCCACCTAGTTTCTGATAATGGTTTAGGTGTAATTTTTTCAACGTGCTTTTTTAGAACATCCCAACGCGATGTCGATGCTGCAAATATCGTGTAAATCTTTTGTAAAACACCAAAAAAATGTAGTGCTTGGGTTGATGATTTTGCTATATCTCCCAATAACAAATTCAAGTTGTGACTACCGCATGGTACGTAAAGCGCTTTAGGATTTACACGTAATATATTTGCTTGTACTCCTTGATATATTCCCCTCATATTGGCACCGTTATCATATCCTTGTCCGCGACAGTCAGATATTTTTATTCCCAACTGATCCAGAATGAGCATGATAGTTTCAGATAGTCCTTTTCCTGTTGTATCGTGAACTATTTCAAATTTGATAAAATGTTCCTTGATTTCAACCTCCTTGTCTGTTATGTTGACATAACGAAGAACAACCGATAATTGCTCTTGATGGCTGACATCTGGTGTACAATCCAATAAAATGGAATAATATTTTGCTCTCCTTATTGCATCGATAATTACATTTTGTACTTTATTTGCTTACTTCACTTATCACTTATTAATTCGTTTTGAATTGAATGCGATAAATATTGATGCCCTTTTATGGCTGTTCTGTTCAAATGATCATTTAGAACGGAATCAAATTTTGCAATTAATTGTATTAAACCCAAAAAATTACCATTGTGCGGTGTGTACAAAGTATCGGAACTTCCTCGGAAAGCTAAATTATGATGCGCCAAATATAAAATAACAGCAGTTATTCTTTGGAAAATTTGTTCGTATCGTGCCGTTTCAAGTCTTAAAAATTTTTCGCTTAAGCCTTTTAAACCCCGATTCATCATGCGTTGAAACGTCGGCGGAGCATTTTTCAGACCGAATGGCATTCTAACGTATTCGAAGTGTCCTTCGTTGGTAGAGAAAGCTGTTTTGGAAATGTCCGAATTTTTTACGCCTATTTGGTGAAATCCAGATGCTAAATCAAAGGCCGAAAAGTACTTTGCGTTACCTAATCTGTCTAGAATTTCATCAATATTTGGAATCGGATATGAGTCGCGGATCGTTTTTTCGTTTAATTTTCGATAGTCTATTACTAAACGCCACTTTTTCTTTCCCGACGCGTCCGATTTCTTTGGAACAATCCAGAGAGGACTATTGTACGGCGAGTCGCTGTCCCTTATGATACCCTTTTCTAACATATCGGTAACTTGGATTTTAATCTCTTCTTGATGCATCGGAGGGTACCGGTATTGTTTCGTATGTATCGGTATGTCGTCAGTCGTCTTGATTTCATGTTCTAGGATAGAGGATTTTGGTAAAGGATCTCCAGGTAGGGTGAATATGTCGTGGTATTTTGAAACGATTTCCCATATCGTGGTTTTACCTTCCTTTAAATGATCCAATCGTGTGTTAGCTTTCAAAAGGTCGATACGTTCGGTAGTTTTTCGATACGGTTGGATTTGGAAGATCGACCGTTCATCGAACATTTCGAATGATGTCATATTACTTTTTAAATAATCAGAAAGTATTGGTTGACCTGTTGCATCAAGTTTTGTAATGGCTCCGGCTCCTGACACGAAATTGACTAATACCGTTTCACAATTGTTGTTCGCGGAATTTCGCTTTTTTATAACATTGCCGATTTTGAAAGAATTGCAAGAGATTGAAAAATCGTGATCAAAAAGAAAATCCGCACCTAGTATCCCGTCTTGTAATATTGCCGAATTTTCGTCTACTACTTGGAATCTATTAGATTTGTTATTGAATGGAATAAAAACAGAATATAATGTATCTACAGTGTTGCTGGTTATTCCTCTCAACGTCATCCCTTCTCCCTTTTCCATTGTTTTGTCGGTTATTCGTTTTTCTTTTATAATTGATATCTCGCTACCTGTATCTATTAGAAAATTTGTGGTTTCTATACCTGGCAGCTTCAATAGAACGAATGGGGATATGTCCACTCTGCGTTCGGCTGGTTGTTTGGCGTTTCTGGCGCTTCCGATGATTGCCGTTCCCCTGGTGGATTGATGTCGTGTTGAGCCTCTTGAAAATTTCGTTGTTGGTTGATCTGCTTGGTCTGTTGCTCCTTCCATTTCTTCGTTCGGCATTCTTCTTCTATATGACCCTTCCTCTTGCAGTAATTGCACTCCTTGACAGGGTAACTTCGTCGTGGTTGGCTAGGTTCCCCGTGGCTTCTGGTTATTTCCTTGGGTTTTTGTGTCCAAAATCTTGCTTGTTGGTGGATGTACTGTAGCTCGGTGTCGTACATCCGGGCTGCTTCGTATGCTTGATTTAGGGTTTCTAACTGTTGGCTGTATAGGTATTGCGAGATTTCTGGTCTCGCGTTTCTTCGAAATGTTTGGATGGCCTCTTCGTTGCAGATAATTTCTTTAATGTCAATGTATGTCTGCATTCTTTTTTCTGTATTTATAGCCGTAAGAAGTTCATCCTGGATTAGTGAAAATGCTCTAATAGTGTCCCATCATAGCACCGGAAAAAGTAACAGAGAAATAGCAAAGCTATTAAAGTTAAACCGTAGAACCGTGGACTACAATGTTAAAAAATATAAAGATACTGGCAGTTTATCCAACAAAAAGCGATCAGGGCGGCCAAAAATAACCACATCAGCAGAAGATCGGGCAATCACAATAATAAGCAAACGTAATAGAAGAAAAACGGCACCGGAAATTACAGCTGAAATAAATGCATTTCGCCCTGAACCAGTAAGTTTGACAACAGTCAAAAGGCGCTTACGGAAAGCAGGTTTGCATGGACGAATTGCCATGCGAAAACCCCTTCTACGCAAGCAAAATAAAGCAAAACGGTTAGCCTGGGCAAGATCGCATAAAGATTGGACATTGGAAGACTGGAAAAAAGTGCTCTGGACCGACGAGTCAAAGTTTGTGGTATTCGGCTCACAACGGAGGATGTTTGTCCGAAGATCGGCAGGAGAACGAGCCCTTGAATCCTGCATATCACCCACGGTAAAACACGGAGGAGGATCGGTTATGGTTTGGGGTTGTTTTGCGAGCACATCTGTGGGCGACTTGGTCAAAATAGATGGCATATTGAATAAAGAACGCTACAGAGGAATTTTGGAGACGAATGCCCTTTCTTCGGGAACGCGACTAATCGGAGAAAACTTCGTGTTCCAACAAGATAACGACCCCAAACACACCTCCAAATTATGCCGTGGATACTTAGAACAATTGGAACGAGAAAAAAAAATTGTAATTATGACCTGGCCTCCTCAAAGCCCCGACCTGAATCCCATTGAGCTTTTATGGGAAGAACTAGACCGACAGGTACGAAAAGCGGCCCCAACATCTACACAAACCCTCTGGCAACAATTACAAGATGCGTGGTCTAGAATAGAACCACTCACACTCACAAAATTATTGAACAGGATGCCGAAATTATGCGAAGCAATAATAAAAGCGCGCGGTGGAAATATCGACGAAACTAAAATTTAGAATAATTGTGTTAATTTTTGTAACAAAATTGGAAAAAACATTGTTTTTAGTGATATATGTTGCACTATTAAAAAATAAATTAAAAAAATTGTTTTTTGATTAATATTTCTCTTGTTTTTGTGTTATTTTGAGGGTGGGTAAACACTTATGGCCGTTAGTGTACATAATCAATAGATTAAGTCCTATACTCTCATCTCCCATAAACATCCTTCAGCCACACCGAACATTCTACTCCTATCTCACATAAACATCCTCTGACTCCACGCTATCTAATCTCCCATAAACATCCTTCAGCCACACCGAGCATTCCACTCCTATCTCACATAAACATCCTTTGACTCCACGCTATCTAATCTCCCATAAACATCCTTCAGCCACACCGAACATTCCACTTCTTTCTCCTATGAACACCCTCCGACCGAACCGAGCAATCCAATCCTTTCCCATAACAAAACCCAGACAAAATACAGATAATTGTAAGCATCCCCGCGATGCCCGAACCACCAAGCAACTCATATAAATTAAGCAACAAGTCACCAAAAAGTTAGTTCAGTTCCGTTCAAGTACCGTTCAGGTACGGACTCTAGACGAGTCGTACTTCTAGAGGCTTTGGAATCCGCTTCGATCCTCTCGACATCGCGTTACTATTTCCACACGTTACTATTTCCATACGTTATTATTCTATATCTTATTATTTACTAAGTACGTTAAGTGTTGTATTCCATTCATTATAAAATATATATAATATTTTTGTATTCTTAACACATTGCAAATACGATTATTTATCCTTCCGATCGCGTCGCGCCGGACGTAAATATCAGTTACATAAACTTGTACGCGACCATCATCAGTCAGCCCTCTATAAGCGCTGGCCACTGGGTATCGAAACGCCACAACATAACGACGAATTAACGTGGAAGCTGATACCTATCACCATCGACGACACAGCGGTAGCAGCAGATTGCAGTCCCCTGCCATATCTGGACGTATGTACATACGTGCCACTTGGGCAGAAAGATTGGAAGAGCTACGCACTGGGAAAGAATCCCAAGTATTCTGAACACCCATCCCGGGACGTAACAATTGGTGACAGCGGTGGGATCCACTATCGCTGCGATAAGATAACTGTAGCCGCACGTCTAACGAGGTGACATCACTCCTCTGGCATCCGCACCACGCGCAGAGTCAAGCGTGAGAAAGGCGAGGTGACATCACCACCCCCTCCACTCACGGGCAGGAGACCCGAGCGCTCAGCCCAGACGCTCAGTCCAGCTCCAGACACCGCGTAGTGTAGACGTATTAGTGACTTAGTGCCAGAGAGTGTTTCTATATCACCGCATCGTAGAATATTTTCGAAACGCTACTTCGTTGTTGCGCGCTCTAAGGTGAACGACAAACGGCTGAACGCGGAGAAAATTTTTTTTCTTTTTCTTTTCCCTTTTTGCATATTTATACACTCGAACGGCAACCCAAGCGAAGCGCCTTAAGTTACACGATCAGGAAACCGTCCAAGTGCTTGCGAACCAACACCAAAATCAGGGAACACATGGAGAGTGTAAGCCCTAAGGCCGCAACGCCGACCATGCTCAACCTGAGACAGGTGAATTACGGTTAATAATTATACTACCTTTCTTTTATTTTTACTATATCACATTCTTTGCTCTCTCGCACAGGATCACAGCGATCCCATCAAAAAGAGGAAACGCAAACCCAGAAGAGGTTGCCGCGCCGGGAAAAGTTTCAAAGACTGGAAGAAACGGGTGATCGAGCCCCTACTAAGAATAGTGCCACGTCAAAACTCCGAAGCGCACAAAGTGACAACCGCAGTAAACACTGAAACCTTGGATTTGACAATTTCTAACGACAAGGACACTGTCCCGTTTCCTCCGCCAGTGATAGAAACATTAGAGACACAACTAGTGCCAATAGGACTAATATAGACTTAGATATCTACACACCTGCGACGTCCCTGCAAGATCACACAGACACAATTTTCACCCGGTAAAAATTGTTATCCGGGAAGGGAGGTGTGACGTCGAGCGACGACGTTGGAGTTAGTATTAAGTTAAGATTAAGAACATATACATAATTATTAGATTAAGTACTATACTCTCATCTCCCATAAACATCCTTCAGCCACACCGAACATTCCACTTCTATCTCCTATAAACACCCTCCGACCGAACCGAGCAATCCAATCCTTTCCCATAACAAAACCCAGACAAAATACAGATAATTATAAGCATCCCCGCGATGCCCGAACCACCAAGCGACTCATATAAATTAAGCAACAAGCCACCAAAAAGTTAGTTCAGTTCTTATTCTATATCTTATTATTTACTAAGTACGTTAAGTGTTGTATTCCATTCATTATAAAATATATATAATATTTTTGTATTCTTAACACATTGCAAATACGATTATTTATCCTTCCGATCGCGTCGCGCCGGACGTAAATATCAGTTACATAAACTTGTACGCGACCATCATCAGTCAGCCCTCTATAAGCGCTGGCCACTGGGTATCGAAACGCCACAACATAACGACGAATTAACGTGGAAGCTGATACCTATCACCATCGACGACACAGCGGTAGCAGCAGATTGCAGTCCCCTGCCATATCTGGACGTATGTACATACGTGCCACTTGGGCAAAAAGATTGGAAGAGCTACGCACCGGGAAAGAATCCCAAGTATTCTGAACACCCATCCCGGGACGTAACAGTAGCAATGCAATAGCCTGATGCGTTTTTGTTTAAAACATATGAACCGCAAGACGGCAACTGACACACAATCACTAATAAATGTCAGGCGTTGCTATGCCCAGTTTCTATGCAAGTTTGTAGGAGCTGCGACTCGTCGACAGATTTCCAAAAATTGGGGAGTCTTATCTCTATTTTTTTAAGCAGTTTTTTAAACAAATCCAAGTAATATTTTTTCGCCCCCATAATTCGCTTTCAAGGGGCAAAAAATTCAATGAAAGTACAAAATCTGTAATCATGTATGACTTTTGCAAAAAACTATTGGTGTAGTTTAATTTCTCTAAAAAGTACATTTCTCTGAAAGTGCCTGGATTTTTTTATCTAAAGTAGTTTCCAGGATATGCGGACTTTATAGAGTTACACTGAACTTTGATGATTTTTGTCACTCCTTTAAACTGAATTATCGCTACTAAAAAAATGTCTTGCATCTGTTAATGGTATCATCATTCTGTAAAAAGTTAATCAAAATCGGTGTTTTTTAATTGGGTAATTTTCGTAGACCGCGGGGCCTCTCAAAACGCGCGGCCGAATTCCGGCGAATGCGCTGAACCTGCCTTGCGTCGGCCCTGCGCCGAGCACAATATTCCGCTATCGGTGGCTTCGAATTTTCTTGCTCTTATGCAAGATATAGAGAAGGAGCCCCAAGTTTTACAAGGTATGACTGTTGGACGCACAAAGTGCAAACAGATCATCACTAATGTTTTATGCGTTCGTGAAACGGAATGCATTATCGATAACGTACAGCACAATAAATTTTCAATTTATGAGGATAAAACCTCAGATTCCACTAATGATAAGTGGCTTACATTGGCTGTAAAATATGTTGAGCCATACCGCTTATCTAATACTACTGAATTATTGCAACTAATTCAACTGGATGCCAGCGATTGCTCAGCGGAAAAGATTTTCAAATCTTTCGAAAATCAATTGCAGAAAATGCATATTCCGTTGAGAAACATCGCAGCTCTTAGTTGTGATAATGCCACAGTTATGACTGGCAGACATTCTTTTTTCAAGGCAAAGTTACTTGAAAAGAACCTCAATGTTGTCACTTTGCCGTGGGTTTGTCATTCTGTAGCGTTAGCGGCTAGTGCTGAGTGTGCTACAATTCCCAGAGAGTGCTTTGAATTGCTCCGGGGTGTAGCATCTTTCATAACCAGTAGCCCAAAACGGGCTACAATTTTCCGCCAATTTCAGGAGAGTTATGCGAACTCTCCTGTAAAAATTCTCAAATTATCTGACACACGCTGGCTTGCGATGCACCAGTGTGTTAGCAGATTGTTACAAATCTGGGACGATTTAATCCGATTTTTTAAGGAGCTTATTGCTTAGCAGACATGACATTAAAGGATATTTCTATTTTTTAGAATATACTTGAAATGTTTTAAATACTTTCAATGCCTCCTTCCAGAATAGAGATACGATGGTTCAGGAATTGCAGCCTTCTTCAGCACGGTTGCTTGAATTTTTCTTGCGTAGGTTTTTGAAGCCGTTTCTTCTACAGCACTTCAATTTTGTTAGGCAAATTGATTTCACGTGTCAATTAAACCAAGTTTCACTAAGTGAAGTGGATCTTGGTACTGATTGCAGACACCATCTGGAAGAGGCAATTGACAATGGGATGTCGGAAGTTGAGGTACATTCCTTCCGCGAAAATTGTTTACGGTTTTATATTACCGTAAGCAATGAAATTAGGAATCGTCTTCTTCATGACGATATATTCCTTAATCAGTTGACGGTTTTCAAGCCGATAAATTTATTCCACGACAGCGATAGACAAACTTATCAGAATGTCATGGCTGTTGCTCGAAGATTAGGAAATTTCAATGCCGAAGATTTGCAAAAAGAATGGGACTTTTTGTATTACGGCACTTCCGATGTAAATAAAGAAAAGTGGGCAACATTATCATTCGACGATATGTGGATAGACATCTGCACACAAAAAAATTCCTCCCAAAATTTTCTGTTCCCTTACCTCACTTCTCTACTTAGCACTGTGCGGTGTCTACCACATTCAAATGCTGAGTCCGAGAGAATATTTTCGATGCTCCCCGACATAAAATCTAAGAAAAGGAATAAGATACGAGTTGATCTCCTAAATTCCATGTGTGTGATACGCACATCTTTAAAAGCTAGAGGAGAAACTAACCGTACCATGTCTGTCGATGACAGGCATTTAAATTTAATGTCGGGGAAGCAGTTATATGCAAGGTCGTCACACTCGCGAAACTTTAAACAGTTGACCTTGAATGCGTACGAACACCCCTAGCATATATTATAGTATTGCCCTTTTGTTGCCCTTTTTCTAGCATTTAAAATTTTTTTATGTTGGCGGATCTGTTTTGAAATTATGAAACAATTGCAACTGTAGCAATCCCCCTTATAAGAATCGCGTGCAATTTCTTCCGCGTGCATTTCCGCAACGTATATTTCTGCATATATACGCATTCCTTCGTATACATATACAAGTGTAATTCTTCCGCGAGATATTTTACATCGATGGATATATTCTTGTCAACGAAAAAAGATAAGTTTACAATAATATTTATATTATATCTTGTATTATTGTAATTTTGATTATAATTTTCTTTATGTGTATGTTTTTTTCCAGATATGATTTTCGACAACGGGACACTTCCATTGAGAAGTTAAGAAGACAAATTACAGAATAATTAAACAAAAAAAAAGATAAGCTTATAGTACTTTTAGTATTTCTCTGGTGTTATTAGAGTCACGATTTAAACTGTGCATTTATTTTCTTTCACATATGGTTTTCGGCAGCGGGGCACTTGCATTGAGAAGTTAGGGAGACAAATTTCAGAATAATGAAACAAAAAAAAAGATAAGTTTATAGCATTTTTAGTATTTCTCTGGTGTTATTAGAGTCACGATTTAAACTGCGCGTTTATTTTGTTTCAGATATGGGACAGCGAAGACCATTCAACATCGTATATGCATGGAGCAGCTACAACGGTTTTCGGCAACTCGAAATACATATATCATTAGCAAAAAAGTCTAATTTTGAAAATACTTCTCATTTTAACATTTTTCTAGCTTCTATTTAACTGCGAGGTTATAAAGTGAAAATACAGAACAATTAAAAATGAAAAGTAAAACGAATAATTGATGTGCAAAGCACTTATCAAGGAGACTACATACCTATCCCCCGGGGATTTTAATGAAATTTGCAGGGATGAATCTAGAAGTCGAAAAATAACATTTTGTAAAATATTTCATTTCAATGAGCATTTTTTATAAACAATTGAAATTACTTCGTGTGCGCCTAAGATGTTTGCTTCGTAACTGAGTATGTATATAATCTTGATTTTCGAGTCTTGAAGGTAGAAGAATATTTTTTACTTTTATTTTAATTGATAAAATGTAATTGTAAGAAATGCGAGATTTCGGCGGCGAAGTAGTGGCCTGGACTTTGTCACCCAGGAAGAGAAAGTGCACCGGTACCTGAGGGTATCATAAACTAAGCCCTTTCCCCGGAAAGTCGAACGAGGGGGCTCCAACCAGTGATGCCAGAATCGTAGGCGCTGGGCCCCCCACTATGACCTACCGCCGTCTCACACTATACCGTCCTCGTGTTCTCACACAAGTGTAGCGGTAGCTCTGTCCGTGTGCGAAGCCTGTTCGGCTCTTTCCGCCAAATATCTACGTTGAAGAGAATTCAAATATGCACTGATTGGCACATAAAAAAATATATGGTTTCATTTAAAAAAATTGTAGTGATCTTTATTTTTTATCGAATAAAAACTTTTTTGTAAATTTTCATTAACACGATTTATTGTCAACTGAATACTGATTAACTTTTGTTTGAAAAATTTTGTTTGAAATTTGTTTGAAAACCCAAAAGTAGGGGTGTGCATTGGAGGTGATGTGTGAATGTGAAGGATGCGTGCATGGAATAAAGGAATGGTTTAGAATCTTTTAAACTTTATTCGTTTTACTTTTCATTTTTAATTGTTCTGTATTTTCACTTTATAACCTCGCAGTTAAATACAAGCTAGAAAAATGTTAAAATGAGAAGCATTTTCAAAATTAGACTTTTTTGTTAATGATATATGTATTTCGAGTTGCCGAAAACCGTTGTAGCTGCTCCATGCATATACGATGTTGAATGGTCTTCGCTGTCCCATATCTGAAACAAAATAAACGCACAGTTTAAATCGTGACTCTAATAACACCAGAGAAATACTAAAAGTACTATAAACTTATCTTTTTCTTTGTTTAATTATTCTGTAATTTGTCTTCTTAACTTCTCAATGGAAGTGTCCCGTTGTCGAAAATCATATCTGGAAAAAAACATACACATAAAGAAAATTATAATCAAAATTACAATAATACAAGATATAATATAAATATTATTGTAAACTTATCTTTTTTCGTTGACAAGAATATATCCATCGATGTAAAATATCTCGCGGAAGAATTACACTTGTATATGTATACGAAGGAATGCGTATATATGCAGAAATATACGTGCACATACGCATATGCCGGACTTTAACCGTTTAACTGACGAAAAGACTGAAACTGAAG